CAGACTCTGAGGAAGGAGAGTGCACAAAGCAAAGGGCAATTAGGCAAGAAGGAAGTGATTAGAGAACTGCTTTTCCCTTTACAGCAGGGATGAAGCCCTTGCAGAGAATACGTTGTTTTTCAGCAAGTCATTCTGGCCCACTCAAGTGCATCCTATGAACCTCCCTTCCTTTCCCCAGCCTGGGGACCTCGCTATGGAGGCTGAGGTGAAGGGAGGTATGGCTACATGCCCAGCGGGAAGCATAGCTCCCTTCACGGACCAAGAGAGAGAGAACAGGTGACACAAAGAGATAAGCTCAGAGGACTGCAGGGCCTCCACCCACCTGCCTGGGATTCTTGGCTTCTAAGTGTCAGTGTGAAGATCCTACTAGTGAATGAAGGGGAAAGAAGAGAAAGTGTTCCCTGGAAGGCAGTGCTTTAGTCCAGTGCTTTTCAAACTTTACTGAGCACACAAAATACCTGGGGACCTTGTTAAAACCTTGACTGATTCAGTAGCTCTGGCCCCAGGCCTGAGATTCTGCATTTCTAGCAAGCTTTCAAATCCTGCCTATGCTGTTGGGCATGGTCCAGAGACCACACCTTAACGGGCAAGGCCTCTCTGTCTTTAGCAGCTAGTGTGATGCCTGGCACAAAGCATGCTTCTTACAAAGTATGTCAAATGAATAGATGAATGAAAAAGTTAGTTGAGAAGTAGGACTTTCTGCTACTTAAATCACCATAGATAAAATACAGATTCCCAACCCCTCACCTGAGTTTCTAAATCAGTAGGTTTGAGGTGGGGATAGAGTATTTGCATTTTAAACACGCCCCTTAGGTGATTTCTCTGATCAGGCCAGTTAGAAGAACACTGGTCTAATGAGTAGGATGGGTGAACTCTGAGGTCTGAGTCCAAGATGCACAAAGATGCTCAAAGGGGAAAATCAAGGACTACAGAGTAGGGGTGGGAAGGCCTCTGCGACACCTGCTGAGAGAGAGCAAGGCTTACACAGGACTCAGGGCCCTTGGGGATGGGGGACCAGGATGCCGGAAGGCTTCGCTGTCTCACCACTTGAAGACCAGGTTGAGCCACTCGGTGATGAGGCTGATCCAGAGCACCGCGATGCCCACGCGGCGAGAGGCGTAGTAGGCCACGGGGAAGTAGAACAGAAAGAGGATCTTGGGATCGCCCAGAAAGGTGACCCAGAGCCACACGTTCTCCAGCCAGGGTAGCTGGTTCTGCAGTGCCTCGGCTATCGCGATGCCCGCGCCCAGCGTGGACTCCATGGCGACCCAAGGGCTGGCTGGGCCCGGGTTTGCTCTAAGGCGGAAGCCGAGGAGTGCGGGCGACAACGAAGTAGCTACCCACCTCCCCCCAAAGCCCACCCTTCCGAGCCCCAGACCCCGCCCTCCCCGTTAGCGGTCCGCGCCAAGCCCCGCCCCCTGCCAGCCTAGGATCGCGGGAGTCCGGCGTCTTGCCGGTAGTTTCCTCCTGCGCTCTGCCCTGGCATTCCTCTCTACTGGACAGCGCAGGGGACAAACCTTTGCGAAGGCGTTTCCTCAGGGCCCCACGTGGCCGCTGTTGCCGGCACGTGGGCAGCCGGCGTACTGGCGGCACCGGCTGCTGTTCCGGGTCAGGGGATGAACTCACCAGCAAGCCGGCGGCGCACCCTGGGTTCTTGCTCTGCTTCTGCGAAGGCAGATGTATAATCTCCAAGGCCAGGATTCCTTCCAGACCGCCCTCTCTTCTCCAGTGGTGCTACCCACCAAAAAAATAAATAAATAAATAACCTTTGAGATCTCTTGGAGAGAGAAGGCTGAAACCTAGACACCCCGTCCTCCTGGGAGCTGAAGCTGGACCCTAAATTTGCATATTGTTAATCTATTGAAGCCTTCCTCAGCCCAAGACTCCCGCTCTAATTCAACCGCTATTAATTTTGAGGCTGACCTATAAGACTCTTGATTTTGAGAGGTCTTCCCTAAAGACTTGCGAATTCTCACATATAGCACAAAGTCACACTTCCTAGCAGTTCTAACCTTGCCTCCTCTCCCACCCTTCTATCCTCTTACTATCCAAAACCCAGCTGAGCAGGTAAACCAAGAGATAGTGACAGTGTTGGTATGGGAAGAGAAGGGGCACACACCCGCGACAAAGTTTGGAATAATCATCTGGAGGAACATACACAGACATCTCAGCTATTCTAGGCAAGGTCCTGCCTAGAACACTGTTGAAGTTGCTCTTCATTTTCTTCTAACTCAAGCAACCTTGTTCTTGAAGAGTTTTCTGATGGGTGGATGAAAATAAGAATACGAATCTGGGTTCTTTTTGGAAAGAGATTAACTTCACTAATTAAAAAGGTGGCTGTAAGGGAAGCTGGATATCTCAGTTCACTCTCTTGCTAAATGTTTTTCAGTCGCCCAAGGAGAAAGCCTACGGTTTGCCCTGGCTGTAGCTTCAACTTTCACCAACCTATCCCCACACTCTGCTTCATAATATTTTGTTTGTTTGCTTGTTTTTGAGACAGAGTCTCGCTCTGTCACCTGGGCTAGAGTGCCATGGCATCAGCCTAGCTCACAGCAACCTCAAACTCCTGGGTTTGTTGATCCTCCTGCCTCAAACTCCCAGAGTGCTAGGATTACAGGCATGAGCTACCCCACTGGCCCTGCTTCATAATATTTCTGAGCTACTTTGTATTCCTTGAAATTGCCAAGCTCTCTCTTCTTAGGGGTCCTGCCACATGCAGTTTCTTCTGCCTGGAACGTGGCCACCCTCATTCCCTGCTAATCCATTACTTCAGGTCTTCTCAGCTGAGGTTTTTTTGCTTCCTCAGAGAAGGCCTTTCTTAATGGTGCCTGGAAGTCACATATGAAAACCTATAACCATAATGCTGTATAAAAAGTGGAGTGGTGATTACATATGACTTGTTATGGGGGAATAGGGAGGAGAAACATGAAAGTTCTCTGAAAACAACACAAGTATGAGGGAGCAGAATTTTTTTCCTATTACAACAATTGTGCCAATACCTCCAATACTAGGAAGTTTGTGCCTCTTGCAGGGCAAGGAAACACTTTTGAACTTTGCTCAGGTTAAGGAATGCCAAGACTGGCCCTTTGCCTCCCTCTGCACTAGAGAAAGGTCAACCTGTTTCTTATACACGAGGCTCCCAAATTTCTATAATGTGGGGTGGGTGGGTTAGGGATGGCAGTTAGTGATGGTCAGGCTTGAAAATGCATCTGCATAGTACCTTACATAATGTTAAGAAAACTTTTGTATATTAGATGAACATTATGTATCAGATGAGAAGGGATTTGGGGAGCCCAAAGCCCCTCTGCCAAGTCTCCCTTTGTCACTATCACTGCTCCTCATTCTTGCCTTTTTTGCCTGGCTTTCTGGGGGACAGGGTGAGGAGGCAGCTGGGAAAGTGTCTTTGAGTTCCAAGGGTGATGGGTGGTCATGGGGAACGACCATTTATTAAAGATCTACTACATGTCATGCATGTATACACGATTTCATTTAAACTTCCTAACTATTCTATGAGGTAGGTATTATTACTTAATACAGTATAGCAGTATACAGTACCATCTTTGGAAACAGACTATGTCCTTGACAGTTGTGTGACAAGTTTAGCCTAAGACTTAGTTTCTTCATTTGTAAAATGAGGATATTGATTTTTACCTCAAAGGGCTATTAGATCCTCAATAAGTGATAACATAGATGCCAATGAAGAAAAAGAATCAGGTAATTTGCGCAGGGTCACATAATTTAGTAAGTGGCAGACCTGGGATTCTGATTCCAGTTTATCTAGCTCTGTAGCTAATGTTCTTTCCACTACCACTTTGTAATTAGTTATGATCATCTTGAGCAAGTTTCTTTAAGTCCTCTGGGCCTTTGATTCCTCATATTTAAACGGAACAATATGTTATTATTCTATTGAGTTCATTCATTAACTTGTATTTAAGGTGTGCAAATAATGAAGACTGCTCCCTCCTCTTTCCCCTTTTCATTCCATGTAGGCCATTTATCCTTAACTTCTAAAGTGGACCCTACAAACACTTATCCAAGTAGGCTCAGCTGCACAAAAATTATTATTCAGATTCCCTTTTATTTCCTCTTCCTTCTCCGTCCACCTAGGCTCCCGCCCCACCCAGCGCCAGGCCACGCCCCGGCGTGTGACGCCAGCACGTCCCGTGCGTCGCGTCGCGGCGCTCACTGGGGGCCCGGCTTTCGCCCGTTGCTGCCGCCGCCGCCGCCGGCCGCGGCTGCTCTCCCAAGATGGCGGCTCCTCCGGGCGAGTACTTCAGCGTTGGGAGCCAGGTGTCGTGCCGGACGTGCCAGGAGCAGCGGCTGCAGGGCGAGGTGGTAGCCTTCGACTACCAGTCCAAAATGCTGGCTTTAAGTATCCTTCCCTACGTGGAGCCCGAGGCCGGGCCGGCGTGTAGGTGCGGTGTTGGGGGGGTGGGGGACGACGGCGGCGGCTGGGGCCCTCTCCGGGCCTAGGGGCGACCGGCTACCGCGGCGCCCGGGGCGCATGCGCACGGCCCTAAGCTCCCCTCCCCCTCCCGCGGGCCCTTCGGTCAGCTTTGGGGACCCTGTCTTACCCCTTGCGGGAGCTGGTCCCCTACCGATGGTCGGTGGGTGGAGGGGGCCTTGACACACGGATGGCTTTTCGTGGGGAACGCTATAACTGGAGCCACAGTGATTAGGGGAGGGGGTGGTGGTGGGAGGGGGCTGGTGGATTGGAGCCCGGATGGAAAGGGGGCGAATAAAATATTATGGGGAAGGGGTGTGTAGGGTAAGGAACTGTTAACAGGACAAGGGTGTGGAATTTAGGAGGGGGTGCCTAGTGATAGGATTTGACCCAAGAAAGGGCGGTGGGATGGTGACCAAATGGGCCTTGCCTGTTGTAAGGGAGAGCAGAGTTTGTATCTGAATCGGGGATAGTGGCTTTTTTTTTTTTTTTTCGCTGATGGCGTGTGTATGTGCGGTGCTGTATATGGGGTGGGGAAGCTGATTGTTAGGGTCCTCAGTCATTCGGAGATTGTTCTTTTGGGGATGTTTACATTGGAAACCTGGTTCAGAGATGGCTTGCCACGTTTTTCAGGGGCTTATGTAGGGATGTGTGGGTTACAGGTGAAGGAGTAAGTTCTTATTTTCTCTTGCTCAGTCCAGCACATGGAGTTCTGACTTTTCCGTAGTAGTGGCCTCCCTTTTGAAAGTAGCAGTGTTAAACTGAATGAAAGAGGTGGCCTGCTTCTTTGGGGGTGGCGGTGATTTCTAAATTACTCCAGGAGACTCAATCTTGGAAATAAAACACTTCCTTGGTGGAATAAATGTGCCACTGCTTCCCCTTTTATTTGAGCTACAGGTGGGTTTATTTGGATTTTTGGGGAGAAGTAATCCTTTTTGTCATCTTTCAAAACCAGGTTTCCTACTGAGTCTGCTACCTTTGAGTGTCAAGTATTTGATTTAACCAATAGTTGTAGATTTCTAGTTTAGGAAGATGTCCTCTGAAACTAGTTATAGTAAGAATGTTGCTCCCCCTTTTTTTTAAATAATAGGTTACACCTGGAGCAAATAACCCTTTACATTAGTGGAACATTTAGTTGGAAGGGTCTTGGAAGTAGGGATTACTCTACTTTTAATTGGCATGCAACAAGCTCTTAGTAAATGGTTGGAGAATGAGTGAGTGAATGAATGAATGGATTAACTAGTTGGGTCACCTTGGGTGAGTTTTCTTTCCAGTGCTGTAGTTGTCTCTTCTGCAAAGTGGGAAATCTCAAATCTGAAAAAGTAAAAGAGCACCGTACAGGTATAGAGAGAATTATACGAAGAACAGAAATCACTGGCTCTTCTATGTGGTTCATAGGTTCAAAACAAACAATATGCATTAGATGTTAAAACTGCCATATGCTAATCCACAAAACCAGTAGACCAAAGGTGGCAGAAACCCTTTTGAGGCTTCCAATTTTGGGTGGTGTTTGGGGTGGTTCTTAGGAGGCCCTCTTGCTCCTGGCATACCTTTTACACAAGCCTCGTGTGAATTGTGTTTGCAGTGCCCCTTTTGGGATGTCAGTGCCTCTGCTTGCCCTGTTTTCCTTAACTTTATTTTCTCACCAGAATGTCCCTCTTCCAGTGGAAAGCCCAATCACGCAGACATCTTGCTCATAAACTTACAGTATGTTTCAGAAGTGGAAATAATTAATGACCGAACAGAAACCCCTCCTCCCCTAGCATCACTCAATGTTAGTAAGGTAAGGACTCAAGGGCAGGTCTGGCTCTCCAAAATTGTGGGAATGATGAGTCTCATTGACTTAGTGATACGTACATTGTTGTCTGTTTTTCATTTATATATTGACTTACAATAGCTTGTTCTGATGTCTTTTTAAAAAATATATGTTTAGTTTTTGTCTTTATTCCTCAATATCCTCAGTAGATCTTAAATATCTTAATGCCCAAATAGTTGAGAGCTTGCTTTTGTCCTTTGTGAAAGAGGGCTTTTTTTCTTTCTTTTCAACTCCAAGTTTTAAACTTGGAGTCCTTGCATGAACTTCTGGTGGTGGTGGGTTTCGGTGGTGGTGTTGCCTGTGAACCTCCTGAAATTGTGTATATATGTGAATGTGTGTGCACATGAATATACATATTTCCTGGGTGAAGCTCTGGAGTGTTTTTCAGATTCTCAGAAGGATTCATGACCTATAAAAGTTTGAAAGCCACTGCCTCATAGTTTCATTTTATGTTTGAATAAACATATCTTTATGTTTAATAAATATGTATCTTTACGTTTGAATTTTGAGGATATTTTAGGATATTTTAATCTTATATTACTTTTTTTTCTAACCACTAGATGAGCTGGGAGGATATTTTAATTTTGCATGTACAAATTGATCTCTGGGAACCCCGTAGTCACTTTCGTTTTTTGAGACGGTGTCACTCCGTTGCCAAGGCTAGAGTGCAGTGGCGTCGTCATAGCTCACAGCAACCTCAAACTCCTGGGCTCAAGCAATCCTCCTGCCTCACTTAGCCTTCCAGTTAGCTGGGACTACAGTCACATGCCACCATGCCTAACTAATTTTTTCCATTTTTTGTAGACGGGGTCTCACTATTGCCTAAGCTGGTCTTGAACTCCTTGCCTCAAGTGATCTTCCTGCCTTGGCCTCCCAAAGTGCTAGGATTACATGTGTTAGCCACGTCGTCTGGCCCCAAGTCATTTTTTTTAACTCTTCTATTCAGTTAGCCAAAGTTCACATTGATCAGTAATAATAATGCCCGAAGTCCTGTCATCATAGCCTGTGCTGTCCCCTGTACTTAGAACACTTTTCTTTCCAGAATGACTGCACCCTTATCCATCAGGACTTGGTTAAATGGCATCTCTTCCAAGAAGTCTTCTTTGATCACCCAGGCTAAAGTAATTTGCCCCATTATTCTCTCTCATAGTACTTTGTCCTTCACAGCTAAGGTGACCATATTGTTGATAGTCCAACCTGGGACATTTTTGAGGGTAAAGGGGAGTGCTTTTACTTTACACTGGAACAACAGGTAGTATACATTAGTGTGTCCTATGCAAATTGGGATGTAAGATTACCTTATTCATAGCTTTTTTGTAATTACAATTGTATATTGTTTGTTTACTTGTCTAATGTCTGTCTCACCAAACTTTATTCTGTGAGGATGGGAACCATACCTGTTCTGTTCACTATTTACTATATAGAACCTGGCACAGAGTAGGTGTTTAATAAATTTTGTTGGATGAATAAATTATGCCTTCAATTTTAGTAGCAGCTGTCTTTCCTTAAGTTTCTTGAATTAGTGTGGAAGTTTTTCCCTCTGGAGGAAGCTTGTAATAATGTATATATTCTCTTGTTTCTCTTGGGAATGTGGTATGTTTGCTACAATTCAGCAAAGCAAGGAAACTTTGGCAGTTGAAACCATAGAGGGGGACTGAGGCTAGTGAATATAGTTACCTCAGATCTGGACCTCCCTTCTTGTCAGATTCCAGAGAAATGCCGCATGTATTTTAGTGATGGTCAAGGACAAATCGAGAAGTGTCTTGGGTTTCATATTGAAGGCTGTTGTTGTATGTAGGATGTTCCATCTTGGAATCCTATAGATTTTTTTGAAACTTTGGCTTGGTAAGATACCTCCTACTGGAGTATAAGAGCTGTTTGGGTGGTTTTTTATTAGCTCATGAAATTT